TATATATGTTTTTGGGAGGAGAGTCCCACTGTCCTACTCACGCCGCCATGTTGGCTCCGCCTGACCGCCCAGCTGTTTGACAGCATCCCTGTGGCCATTGCTCCTCCAGCCCTGGCATCACTGGAGCCACAGCGCCCAAGGGCTGCTGTCTATCATGGAGGGGCTGAGGCCCTGTTCTACAAGCTTTGCACATCCTTCTCGGGCTTACTCAAGGGAAAAGACAGTTTTCAAGCCCTTGACAGAAGTGAATGCCAGACTGAGCCTCAGGAACACAACGGTGATTCTTAGCTACTCTAACAAAGGCAGTGTCGCAGAGAGCAGTCATGTGTGCAGACAGCTCCGCTGGGTCAGGACAGGCCGGCAGCTGCAAGAGGAGGTGGGGAGGCCTGGGCTGCACGGGATGAGGTCTTGAGTGCCTGTGTGCATCAGTTGTCAGCTCAGCACTTGCAGCCCAATTCTGAAAGCCAGAACTCAGCTTTATCTTTCTCCTCCTCCCTCCCATTAACTCACATTGTAGAAGTAAAAGACATGTTTTAGGTTTAGCTCTAGTTTACTGAATAAAACATTGTTTCCTAGTGGTGATTTTTAAGTGAGTGTGTTATTTCATACTGCTGTGACAGAATCTTAAGACAGAATCCCCTCCCCCAGGGGAGTCCATGGTTATTTTCTTTCTTGAGAGTTATAGTCCCTTGAGGGTAAAAAAATACATACTTAATTCACTGTTACTTTAAACATATTTTGTGAATTTTTTCTAATGACTTCTTTTTTTCTTTTCTTGATTAGGCCTTAGAATCTTTTTTTCAACTAAGATATGTATTCTGGTTTTGTCTATTTGAATACTGTGTTCAAATCAACACTCTCCCATGGAGGCTCTCACCATTACTATTCATTTGTAATAGCAAATGATACAGTTATGAAATTTAAATACTATAGCAATAATCATAATAGTTGTATTATGTTTCAGATTTATAATAGCAGCTTTATTTGCTGAACTTTTGCGGTTTGCCAGGCACTGTGCTAAGCTTTTTATAAGTGTCATCTTATTTAAATAAATAGTATGATAGTTAAAAAGTAAGTAACAGTATCCCCATTTTATCAACGAGAAATCTGAGGTTTAATGAAGTTAAATCAGTTGCTCAGCGACTACTAGTCGCTTCACATCCTTGTCAGCACTCGGTATGGTCAGTGTTTTTAATTTTGGCCGTTTTAATAGGTGTGTAGGGGTATTGCACTGTGGTTTTAATTTACAATACTTTGAAAATGTCTTGTGGCTTGCATTTTTCTAACAAAATCTATCCTCTGTCATCTATAATGCTACTCCTCCCTTCTTGCCTCCTCTACCCCCACTTCTTAAGAGTTTTCTCTCCTATTTAAGCAGTTTGATTATGGTGTTCCTTGGTGTACTTTTCTCCATATTTCTTGAACTTAAGGTTCATTGAGCCTCTTGGATTTATGAGTTTATAGTTTTCATCAAATTTGGAAAAATATTGGCCATTATTTCTTCAATATGTTTCCTATCCTCCTCCTCTGTCCCCACTCCTGCCCCCCCACAAGAAATGCAAGGACTCCAAATGTACATCTGTTAGGCTACTTGGAGTTACCTCATAGCTTGCTGACGCTCTGTTTATTTTTTTTCTCTTTGTTCCACTTTAGAGTGTTTCTGTTGCTGTGTCTTTATGTCTACTAATGTGTGCTGTGCTGCTGGTACTTTCCAGATCTCTACTTCACATAATCAGGCTTTCCTCTAGCTTCTTGATATCCTTATGTGCTAATTCTGTCAACTGTGATTTCTGGGTCAGTTTTGATTGGTTCGTTTTTTCCTCCTTAAGGTTTTATTGGATAAGGGTCCACTGCCTGATGTGTACCGTAAGCCAAACACAGGACACTGGCTTCTGCAAAAGGAAAAGGCTTTTTACTGCAAGGTGGCCGAGCAAGGAGATGGGAGGCTAGCTCAAATCTGTCTCTCAGAACTCGGGTGGAGTACAGAATGCATATACACAAGGTTTATGCATATTTAACCTGGGTTCGTGAAACTAACAAAGTTGAGACAGGACTTTCTCCTGTGAGCCTGGCCCCTGTGTAGCATGTTAACATGTTACTGCATACACTGAATGTTCAAAAAACGGTGGCTAAGCATGCCCAGGGCAGAGACTTTGTAAGGTGATGAAGGAAAGGTGACTTGAGGCTCTTGGGGGCTATCTCTGTGCAGGTCTTCAGTCTTGTTTAAGCTGATTTCAGGTGAAGTAACAGCTTCCCACAGCTCCCTGACTCCTATTGGCTCTGAAAAAACAAGCCTGACATTTTGTTACTGTTCTTTTCGCCTCCAGCTCCAATTCAAGTGAACCCTGTGGGGTATGGCTTTCATATGGGGTAGTCCATATTTTCTTGCTTTTTTGTATGTCTGTTATTTTTTATTCAATGCCAAACATTACTGATTGTTAGGTTTTGAAATCCTATAAATGTTTTTTTGAACTTTGTTCTGGGATGTTGTAAAGTTGCTTGGAAACAGTTTGATCTTTTTAGGCCTTGCTTTTAAAACTTTGCTAGGTGGGACCCAAGCAGCATTAAGTCTAAAGCTAGTTTTTCCCCACTCCTGAGGGGTGAAATGGAGAATGCTACCCAGTACCTCTGGGGTCATGTATTTTTCTGCCTGTGGGAACGGGCACTGTGGCCGGCCCTCTTTTCCTGGCCTGGGGCGGTTTAGTCATACTCTCTGGTCAGTGTTCAGGTGAAGACGGGAGGGACCACCTTTGGCAGGTGTTGGAACGTGCTCTCTGTTCAGCTCTTCTGGTACCCTGCCCTGTGACATGGCTGGATTGTGTCCTGGGACTCCCAGCCGTGTGTCACAATGCAGGAGACCAAGAGGCTCCTCCTGGGCTTCCCCATGGGTGGGGGCAACCGGGCAGTGCACCTCCTTTCCATCAGCCAGAGGTTATTATACTTCATGACCTTGTGTCTAGTGTCTTACTGTGTGTGTGTCTGTCTGTCTTCAATGTTTCAGGCAGGTAAGGTGAATCTAGTGTCTGTAACTATCTTTTCTGAAGCGGATTTTTTTAATTGCTCAGATGATTTTAACTCAGCGCGCTCAGCTGATGAGGCACATGGCTAGTGTAGCGCAGTATTCTGGCCTCTGGTGATGAATCCAGCTTGGGACTGAGGTTGGACAGGCTGCCTTCTGCCTGCCATCAGCACAGGGTGCCCATGTCCTTGACTCTGTCAGTTATACACTTGATGTAAGTGAACCTATTCAGCATGAGAACTGGCAACTGTAATCCATTGTACGTTTTTAGTCTCATCCATATTTCTATGATTCACTTAATCTTTTTTTAACACAGTCTACCTACTCGCATTTTTGCATCTTTAAAAAAATCTGTTACTTTTAATGGAAAACATGGCTTTTTCTAGTAAAGAGATTGACAGTGTTGAGTTTTGATAATTAGATTTAAAAGTCAAATGTTCTTATTGCAATTATAGAATATCTGCCAGGTTCATTATTAGGGAACATCATTTAAAACTGTTTTCAACTCTTGGTAATTAAGATGTTCAAAGTGTGTGTTCTTTAATATAAAAATGAAATACACTAAATGTTAAAATTGTAGAACATGTAAGAAAGTGTAAGAAACATTTTAAATTACCTGTAGTCTCAATTTTAGAGATAACTATTATTAATAATTGGTTGTACTTTCGTTTAGGTGATTTTTTTTTTTCAAATTGTTTTCCTGTTTTCCATTTTAGTGGAAGACTTATGACCCTGCATTTTCCCAGTTGGAAATTTGGTTCCGATTTGTCTTTGTGGTGCTTACCTTCATTGTCACTGTGAGTACCATCCCCCTGCCAGACTGTGTCAGAATCCTAACAAGGACAAGGTTAGTTTATGAATTATGACTATCGAAGTGTGAGCTGCATGGGAGATTTATCTGAACTCAGAGACACTCCATCCAGTGGGCCAACCTGATCTTCCTATTCCACCTGTCTGCTAGGATGTTTCTGTGCACAAAGAATGACATGCTATCTTCTAGTCAGGACTCCTGTATGGTCTAAGAGAAATTACAAATCACTGACTTTAAAGTAAATTCCCATCAGTGTCAAATTCCATGTAACCTATGTGGAAGGAATTCTGCCTTGTTGGGATACCTTCTTCGAGTGTTCCTACAGCATGTTCTAGGGTTTTTAGATTTGGAAAATTGTATCAGTCTTTGATCTTTTTCAGGAGGAAGGCCACAGGTGAGTGCGTTTGGAAGTGCAGGCGTTTGGCTTATTCAGGATGCAGGCACAGTGCCCACAAGCACACTGTGACTTTGTAGGAAATGCTCAGTCTTAAAGCACAGTCCCCAAGAGACCCAGTGAAGATGGGAATTTATAGATTGGAGGAAGAGGAGGTGTGCCTGACTTAGTGACTCATAGCATCTGAAGGATGATGTCCTGTCCATTAGCTTACCCCATGCTGATGCAGAGGGTGTGACATGTAAGAGACACATCTAAACATTTGCAGCGGTGGCCACTCTGCCTGCCACCCAAGGGCACTTGGTGCTTCACAGATTAACCATATGCAGAAGGACACAAGCTTGTGGGAGACGTGGGAGAAGTGCCAATGGCGGTGGCCTGGCACCTGGGTGCGGACGGAGGGTGGGGACACAGCCTCTAGCATATGCAGAGAGCTGGCGATGGAGGTCTCAGGCCATATCAGGGCTTCCTCCAGGGAACTTGCTGAAGCCAAGGGGAGAACTGCCTTTTATATTTGGTCAGCTAGAAACCCTTGCTGTTTCAGGTGCCTGGAGTGCTGCACTCTGGGACCCAAAGAGCTGGCACCCAGGGCCCTATGTTCTTAAACAAGAGAAATGGGCCTAAGCCTATCAGACTGAGAGAAATGGACCATTAGTCCAGGAAGTCCAAATTGCCCAGAAACTTACTGGCTTATATTCAGTTACAGAAAAACAAAAGACAAAAACTCTAGGCCTAAAAACCACAAATTGTGTAAGGTATGAAAGAAGTTAAAAGAAACTTCAAGGGGTGTTTGAAAATAAACACATCCTCTGACCATGACTGGTTATAAGCCTCATTCCCTCGGCTTTTCTTCTGGGAGCTCTGGTGCCCTCCTTGGAAGCAGTGCCGCCTGTGCATGTTGCACTGCTGAGAGCGTATGGCCTGTGCCCCAGGGAGGGTGGTTGTGCTCTAGGCTGCTCTGTGGGAGCCAGCCTGACAGGCAGCCTACCCAGGAGGAGTGGGAAGGAGGGTGCTCTTCCCTTTTGTACAGGGATTTTTGCCCTTACATTCCTGGCCCCCTCCTGCCCCTGTCAGTGCAGCTTGTGACCATCTGACCCTTTGCTCTAATTCACCATCTCATCTCAGTTGGCGCTCGTGGTCTCTGTCAGCTCAACAAGGGGTTAACTCAGAGGCAGTGGCTGACACCTAGACTATTGACTTGGAAAGACTTAACATGATACCAGGCAGGGTGCCAGCAGAGACAGTAACTGAGGCCCTGGTGTGGTTTGCAGTGCCTGTTCGCACATTCCCTCCGGAAGTTTTCCATGCGGGACTGGGGGATCGAGCAGAAATGGATGTCCATCCTGTTGCCTCTGCTGCTACTTTACAACGGTAGGTGCCATTTTTACTCTGGAGCTTACCCTTTAAGACTCAGACCTGGAAGACACCCTGGAGGGGGCCTCGCCCCAGTCTTCAGAAGAGGCTGGGGGCCCTGAAGGAACAGGTGGGCATGCCCCGTGCAGCGTGAGTGGGCTACATTGGGATGCGGCAGATGGCTGGCAGCTCTCACATGTGAGTAAGTGATGCTTTGGTAGCTAAAACCTGGAAGGGTTGCCCACGCAGCCAACTTGGAACTTGGCTGCAGGTGGCAAACACTGCCGTCTGTTCCTCTCCACGGCTCCAGAAAGCGTTTGCTTCCAGAGCCGCGGCATTGGGATTCCCGGGCCTGCCGGGAGGAGCGGGCGGTGGGAGCAGACAGCACTCTGTAACGATCACTGGAGCAATCTGTTCATGGGCTTTTAGGTTTTCTGAAAAACAAAATAGCCTTTAGTTCACTGCCTTGCCTTTGGCTCTGAGCAAGGAGACAGCAATCATGAGCTCTCTTCCCTGCCGAGGGGATGGGCTGCCCTGTGCTGGGTACTGGCCAGCCTGCCTCCCATCAGGCCCTTCTGCTTTGTCTTTCCAGACCCATTCTTCCCCCTCTCCTTTCTGGTGAACAGCTGGTTCCCAGGCATGCTGGACGACCTCTTTCAATCTGTGTTCCTGTGCGCCTTGCTGCTCTTCTGGCTGTGTGTGTACCACGGGATACGGGTTCAGGTGAGCCCTCTGCACCGCCGCGGGGATCAGACTTGGTCCTGCAGTTCCAAACGCTGCTGACAATCCTTAAGGTGAACGTGTCCTTGAGAACTGCTTCAGCGTCATAGTCAGCAGGAGAGTATATGATGTGTAGAAATGATTTAAGTATCTGTGTGGTCTATTAGGGGTTAATGGTTTGCTGGAATTCCTAATTTCTCTGTTTCTTACTTTTTGTGTTTTAGGGAGAAAGGAAGTGTTTGACTTTCTATTTGCCTAAATTCTTAATTGTTGGACTGCTGTGGTTGGCTTCTGTTACACTAGGAATATGGCAGACGTGAGTAATTTTATTGTGTGTGAAACTTTTTATGATGGGAAGTTTTTGACAAAGGTCGACAGTTCCAGTCTTAACTGTAGTTTTGTGAACCATCCAGAAAGGAATCTGTCACCCAGTGTTTTAGGACTTGGTAGTGTGACTTGTACTGAGAATTCATTTTTTCTTTTTTAATGGCATGTATAGATATACATACACAATTCTTCTAGTCTAAGATGGAAAATGAAAAAGACTGTATCACTTAGATTTTTTTCTTCAGAGAGGTGAAGACTGCCTTTGTAGGAACGATGCTCAGGCTGGCTCCTAGCTCACTGCTGCCCACCAGCTGTTTTGAGTTTCTCCTTCAGCTTCTAGCTATAAATTTCCCATCCTTACACCTGCTCCCTAGGCTCATCTTTATTAGTGTTTTTGTCCTTCTGTAAAGTGGTGCCACTGCTGAAGCCTGATGTAGTAGCAGCCTGATTCACTCAACTAAGATTCTCTGCAGAACTGAGTTCCATTTCAGGGATGTGATTCTGGCACCTGCACGCCTGGTTTCCTGGCACAGCAGTGATAGGACTTAGGTTACATCTCCACTTCCCTCTCCCTGCCTGCCCATCTCTCAGCCACCTAGTTTCATTTAGAGTGAGTTTGGTGGAAATTTGCAGTTTACTTTTATAGCTTTCTTTGTGAATTCATCTATTTCCAGTGCCCATGTGTGCCACTGAAAAGGTGCCTGGAAACAGCTCTTAAAATTACAAGAAAAATAGGAAAGGGATTTTCATAGTGAAGATACAGCAACTTCACAATACTGATGACCAGGACAGTTAAGTTAGTAGTATTGTGTGGGTTTTCAATGTGAGATTTGGGATTTCTCATAAATTTAGGATTACTTCTTAAAAATCTTTTATTGTTGGTTAGCAAGTAGGTTATATCAATAACTTGAAAAGAATCCAAATGAAAGTATAAAATAAAAAGGAAACTAGTTATTAATTTGTAATTTTTTACTAACATCCCATTTTTAGGGTTAATGAATTACACGATCCAATGTACCAATATCGAGTTGACACAGGAAATTTTCAGGTAAGTGTTATTAATGATGCCTGAAGTTCTTTTTTTTTTTTAATGCTGTTTTAAAAAATATACTGAATTGTGTAACCTAAATTGTGCTGTTGATAAGCTTAGTAACTGGCTATTTGGGAAGGACTAGTAGAAAGTTTATGGGAGGAAAATTTAGGGAAATTATTTGAGTAGTGTGAAAAATAAACTTTTCAAAGCTATGTTGCTGCTCCCAGTCCTTAGTTTATGGGTGAAGTGCCAGGGCACAGAGGGTGTATCACATTTTAGGAACATCATAGAATGACAGTGAAAACATTTTTGTTTGTTTGATTCTCTATAGCAGTTAAGTGTCCAGTGAATGAATGAATGATAGGGACAGGGCTGGCTTCAGGGACCTGTCAGCCTTGTAGCACAGGGCCTGGTGCCTGGGTGATGCTCTGCTATTACCATCCTAACATTCTGCACTTTTTGACAAGGGTCCAGAGGCCCACATATGGCAGTGAGCCCTGAGCATGGCTTTCTCTTGACTCACCAGGTTTATCAGGTCCCTCCCTGCGCAGCTCGCTCCTGGGCACTGCATGGGTGGGCTGCATGCCCAGGAGCAGAGGGGCCGCCCTGGGGCCATGTTCTCAGTGCCGGGCAGTCCCGAAGGCACAAAGTTGAGTCCTGTCCTTGGATGACATCCAGCATTTCTGTGTGTCACTTTGCGGAGTTCCTGGTGAAGTAGTAAAATCTGGTTCTTTGTGGGAATGGCCTCTGAGAAAGAGGGGACTCTCGTGAGTGATGATTTGTTGGGAAGATGTTTCCCTTGCGTTGAGACTGTGTGTGCCACAGGAGACAGTGGCAGTGCCTGGTTCTTAGCGGAAATCCTGCCGGCAGGGGAGTGCCGCAGCCTCCCATTGCTTCTGTGAGGAGTTGTGGATGTGTGCCCTGTGAGCAGCACTCCTGGCCTTGGCCGTCATGAATCATGTGACCTCGGGGCGGAGAGGAAAAGCCCAGAGGGCTGAGGGCGCCAGCATGTCCTGTGGGCTGCGGGCCCAAGCAGGGGGAGGCGGCATCTGTTTTTGTGTTTTGTCCTTTCCCACTAGTCTTCTGATGCCCTAATTATTTCTGGGGGGTGGGGGGTGTTGCGCTTTAGGCTGTGGAGGAGGGCGAGGGGCGTTCCGGTTGGGGCGGGGACCCCCTTGCCAAGAGGTGCGGAGCAAGAGAGCCGCATCAGGAGGAGCGGGTCGCGCTGAGCTCCAGAGGACCTCTGGACGCCCTGGGGCGCTCGAGGCCTTGTGTGCACACAGGGCCTCCTCAGGAGGCTTCTGGGGTTGGGCCCTGAAGGGAGGGAGAGGGAGGAAATGCTCTCACCTTCTCAGGGAAGAGCTGGTGACAGATCACATGGGAGGCTGGCGGGGGAGTATAATTACCCAGTTTGGATAAAATAATAGAAATTCATCCACTCTGCTGTTATGGGAGCTTTTGTCCGGTACCATCCCCTCATTTTTCACTCGAGGAAACAGAGGCTGCAGGTGGGGGGGTCTTGCCGCAGGAGTTCAGAGGCACCGGCTAGTGCCCCAGGCTCTGCAGGCCTGAGCTAGTGCCGGTCTGCTCCCGCCCACGTCCTTTCATTTTCATCTGCAAAATGGGGGTAACGATGGGCCCCTCCCTCAGCGCTGTGGAGAACCGGCTTGACACAAGGAGCTGGCGGCACTTGGGCAGGGCCAGCTCTGGGGGCTCGGGCCAGGCAGCCGTCACCCTGGCTGTGGCCGCCTGTCCCTTCTCAGTCAGGTGGTGGGAAGCCAGCCGTGTGGGACAGGAAGCGTCTCAGCCCCCACGGCTTCTGTCTGTTCCTAAAGGCAACACTGAAGTCAGAGACTTGCAGGAAGCTGAGGCAGGCTAGGGACCCTGGCGGAGGTAGTGAAGACCTTTTATTCTACCCTGAGGAAAGCACAGGTCCCAACGAGGCAAGAGCTGGCTCCCGGCTCCGTGGCCAGCGGTCAGTGCTCCGTCCTTTGGCCACAGGGGCATCCTGGCTGTGCAAGAGAGAGAAGGGCTGGGAGGGGTGGGGCAGGCACGCCTGTCCCCCTGTGGAGCCTGGCTGTCACATGCCTTCCGTGTCCTGGCTTCTCACCTCAGAGGAAAGTCCGCTTGTTTTTCCTGTGATTAAACTTGGGAATTGTACAGTGCCTTCTAGAGGGTCTAGGTCAGTCCCCTCAGTTCCCAGATAAGGACAAGGTCCAGAAAGGCCGAGACCTCCCTGAGGCTTTCTCGGGGTCCAGTCCCGGGTCCTCTTTGACACATGCCACCATTCATGAGCAGGGTGGGCCGGGCCCTTCCAGCTGGAGGGGGAGGACACAGGACAGCCCTGCCATTCCTGGGCTCCTGCCCCGGCCAGGCCTGGGCTCGGGGCCTTACCATCACCAGAGGAGTCTGTGTTCCTGCTTATCTGATAGGCAGGGGCTGGGGTCGGTGTCCCGGGGGAGCTGCCTGTGCCATGGAGAGCGCGGGAGGTTGGGCCCGGGGAGGCAGAGAGGGAGTGCTGGGAGAGCTCTTGTTCTGGGCAGGGGAGCGGCCTTCGGGGTTCTGTGTCCTGTTTGGAAGGCTGCTGTTCCTGCTGAGGCTGGTGCTGGAAGGACACGCAGCTCTGAGGCCTGCTCGTCCTTAGCCTTCCACCCTGTTCCGTTCTAGGGGATAAAGGTTTTCTTCATGGTGGTGGCAGCTGTGTACATCTTGTACCTCCTGTTCCTGATAGTGCGGGCCTGCTCCGAGCTCCGCCACATGCCTTACGTAGGTGAGCTCCCCTTCACAGACACCCGGGGCAGGGTGGGGCAGGAGTGGACTTCACATGGCGGGAGGAGTGGCTGGAGCCCGCCAAGCAAGTGGCCTGGCCTGGGCAGGGAAGACCGGGGCTCGCTCCATTCCCTCAGGCTGGGGACCAGCACCCTGGGCCTGGAGGAGCCATACAGGGCTGAGTGGGTTGCTCCGGGCCATTTGGACAGTGCCTTGGGCCAGCACTGGAGGGGGGCCTGTGCTGGGAGGCCAGCTGGGGCCCTGGGTGCCCCTGTGGCGTGGAACCTGCCTGGATCCTTTCAGAATCACACCTTGCAGAGGAGCCAGCCAAGGGGGTTTTCTAGTTTGTGTCAGGACACGTCACCTGATCTCATGGGGTCCAAAGTTAACCCAGTCTGTCACAACCAAGTGGTAATGGCCATGGCCTTGCTAGGAACTGTCCTGGGCTCTGCAAAGGAGAAGCAGCTTCAGGTATGAACATGTGTCAAGTCCAGAGGGAAGAGGGGTTTGATTCAGGAAGTTTTGCTTTATTTTTTACTTTATTTTTAAGATCTCTGAAATGGGAGTGGAATTTACCCTCAAGGTGGTTTAATGGGAATATTTATTTCTTTTTCAGATCTCAGGTTAAAATTTTTGACTGCATTGACTTTTGTAGTGCTCGTGATTAGGTAAGAAGACTTTATTTCTTGAAAGAAGCAATGCTGTGAATTTTTATTTTACTATCATGAACATCTTTTTTCCCCTCTTGCAGAGTTAATATGGGGGTACTTTTAGCCATATCCATTCATTAGGTTAGAGTGCCTCTTCCCAGTGTGCACGGTGGCCGAGGTCACATGTTTTGGTGTAAATAGCCAGGGGAACGAAGAGCATGAACTAAAGCACACATCCCAGTGCTGGCTCATTACCTGCTCTGACATTTGCTATGTAGGTGTGGCAGCCACAGTCAAACATGACTGGAGTGCCTTGCAGTGCCCTTGGCACCTGGGATCCTTTTGATGCTCCAAGGGCAGGACTCTCAGCAGGAGTTGCTTTTGTTGAAATTCAGACCACAGATATGCTGACCCACACATGCTTGTGACCCCATGGGGCAGGAGGGCTGCGCAGCGAGGGAGGCTGGGCCTGAAGGCCTCTGCGGGCGCAGGCTAGGGCCCAGGGCTGCCAAGGTGCCTGGTGGGGATGTTGCTGAGCGCACCCAGGAAGTTGTTTCTCTGAATGAATTCCAGATCGTTGTTTGGTTGTTCATAGTTTGTCTCTTTCACCTGAAATCAAAACCCACAGAGAAAAGAACTTGAGTTGTTTGCATTTCTTTCTTCGTTGTTTGGATGGCAAATAAATGGCTGTCAGCCCTTTTCCTTGGTGTGAGTCATACAGGGATTCTGAGAGGCTGGTTTTCCAGGCCAGTGTCCAGCTTTGTTCTCCACCTCTGCAGGAGTGCCCGGCACTGCTCATCGTCTGTGGACTCAGCAGGGACTTTGAAATGTTTCTAATGCACCTGAAAATGGTGTGTTGCTGAGCCCCTCCTTCCAGTGCTGGTGCGCACGCCCCACTTCTAATGCACACCTCCTCAGGGCCCTCCCGCGTTCCCCCTGCCCCTGCTCCCCAGTCCGCAGTCGGGAGCTATTGTCCCCTTGTAGCGCCTCTGTGTGGCCTGCCTTAGGGGCTGTAGGCTTCTGTCATCTTTCTGCATGTGTTTCACTGGGGTTCGGTCCTTACCTAACAGATAGTCACTGCCAGCCCACCTGGTAAACAGGGAGGGGGCTCCCTCCGTGTCATGGCTTTTATATTCCAGTGGAGGAAGATGGTGATAAATAAGTAAATAAATGGCATCAGCCCTTCAGTGAAACTAAAACAGACATATGACAATGGGAGGTGGGACATGGCCTCCTTATTTGGGGTGGGCAGGGACCATCTCTCTGAGGAGGTGCCATTTGGCCTTGGGGCTGAAGAAGGAGCCCTAAAAATATACAGGGCTGGTCAGGCAAACAGCAGGGAGGGCATGTGGCTTGGGGAGTAGGAGGGACAGCATTGTCATTGGAGGTGAGGATGTGAGGATGTGAGGGAGGGTGGCTTCCGGAGAGGTCAGGCTGGCCTGCAGGCCACTGTGGAGGAGTCTGGGCTTTGTTTTATGATGGGAGCCCTTCGGAGGGATTTGAGCCATGAGGGGAAGGGGTCTGATTATATTTTTATGGGCAATCACTGGCTGCACATGGAGATGGACCCTGGGGAGAGGAGCTGGCAGCGAGGGCCAGCTGGGGGCCGAGGGCTCCGTGTTAGCAGACCCTCTCTTACCACGGGTGTCACAGGCAGGTGTCTGAACAGAGGCATATTCCCCCTCACTGTAAGTCTCCGTGCCTCAGGAGGGGCAGTGGGACTAGAAGTGGGCTTCCCTCAGGGTGGTTGGTGATCTAGTGTGGGAGTTGGTCCTGAAAACATGATCTTAGGCCATGGGAGAAGGGAAGGAGGACACGCCGAGGGGCTGTATCAGAGCTCCTGATTCGAGGCCCACCTGGTCCATGTCAGGCAGCTGATTCTGTCCCAGAAGCTGGCCCTCTGGGATCTGAGACAAAAAGCCCCGTGGCAGGGTTGTGTGTGCATACATGTATGGTCTCCATGCAGAAATCATGGAAAATAGACTGCAGGTATTAGCAGGGTGGCTGTAACCAGTTACAGAGCACGTGCCTTTTCTTCAAGTACTTTTACACTTTCTCCCCTTTCTCCCAGCATTGTCATCCTTTATTTGAGGTTCGGAGCACAGGTGTTACAAGACAATTTCGTGGCTGAACTGTCAACTCACTACCAGAATTATATCCTTTTAATGGGAGTTGCAGGCTTCAGGGATGCTCCGTGTGGAGGGGTTAGCGTTCAGGTCTGTGCGTGTGAAGAAGGGGCAGGTCCTGGCACCACGGCACCCGGCGGCCTGGCCTGCCTGCACCCAGTGTGAGTGTCCCCATCGGTGGATGAAGCAGCGTCCTGAGGCCAGGCGCCAAGGGATTCAAGCGTCTGCAGCCACTGCTCCCTACTCCACCCATGCCCCATGGGGTGGGCACTAAAGGAATCCAGTCTCCGTCCTGAGCCCCAGCCTGGTGTCAGTCTGGGGCTGCCCATTTCGGTGCTGAGGAGGGTGCTGCAGCCTGATTAGAGGGCCCTCTCTCCAGGTGGTGCTCTCACCATCACCCGACGTGTCCTCATTAGCTGGTTACTTGTGTTCAGCATCGTCCACGGGGTTGTGCTAACTGGGGCAGTTGAAGCCTGTGTCTCTGGGAAGGGCTCGAAGGACAGTGGACCTCCTCCTAGTGCCCCATGTCTGAGGCCGTGGACCAGGCCCGGCGGGGCAGCAAGCTCCTCTCAGTGCATGAGAGGGTCAGTGTGTGTTTTCCACTCCTCTATCAGCGGCAGCATCCGTCGGAATGCTTTGGGGTTAATCTTTTACATTTTGGGTTCTTTCCTTGGTGCCTCTTACATCCTTACAATTAGTGCACAGTTTTTCAAAATTGTGTGACTGAATTTCACACTAAGCTTTCATCATACTCTCAAAGGGGTCTGTAATCCAGGAAAAAAAGATTCTCAAAGGGGGTCTGTAAACCAGTTAAGAATGACGGGTTTGACAGCCATTTCCAGCTCTTCATGTCCTGCTTGATTCACCCAGGTGCCTGTGGCCCTCCGTGTGACTTGGTCACGTCAGGTCCTCCCGCCTCCAGAGGTCTCCGTGGATAGGAGAGCGGGTGCACCTCCTACAGGCGGCCTCTGAACGTGGCTGTAGCTTCTGGCTGGGGGCTCACCTCCAGCGCCTTAACAGCTGGGTCACGGAGCCCGAGGTACTAGTTGGTGGTCAGTGGTAGAAAGGACTAGTGGTGGGAAGGGGTGAAGATGCTGACTGACACAGCCAAGTACGTAGTGTGCTGGGACTGCTTATTCCCTTGACCAGTATCACCTGCTGAATTCTTATCTTTCTATGGCTTGTTGAACTTTTACCTCTACACTTTGGCCTTCGTGTATTCTCCATCGAAGAACGCCCTGTATGGTAAGCCACCCTGGGGCCCGGGTTGCTGGCCTGATAGCTTCAACTGAAGTCCAGGACCCACTTTCTGGGCTTCCCAGTAGTGCTGGGTGCCATAATTCACAGCGCCTTCTCTTTAGCAGAGGAAGACAAGGTAAGTTTAAATAGTGAGCTTTGAGTTTTCATTAGAAAACAGCATGTGTGTCCTTATAGCACAAGATGGAAGGTTTTATTGTCAGTGGGCCCTAGCACAGGCATTATGCCCATCACCCTTATGAAATTAAATCTGTTCATTAATATAGTGCCATGACCATTCAGAAGAAAGTCAAAATGCACCTTCCTCCCACCACCAAACACAGCTCCCAAACAGCCCTCTCCAGCAGGGAGTGAAGAGGGTGAGAACTGGGAACCTGGGCCTGCATGTTAGCATTTCAGGACCCCCACTGGACTTACACTGTATGAATCCTCAAAGCAGCCTCGTGAAAAGTGTCTCATTTGAGCTTCACAGCACCTTTATAATGAAAGTACAGTTACTCACATTTACAGAGGAAGAAACTTAAGTGGCCCGCTTGCTGCAGGCCCAGCGGCAGGAGGGAGCAGGGCAGGCGGGCCTTGGTCTCCGGTGTTTGCACCTTGTTCCCTGTTTGGAAGGCAGCTCTCTCCTGAGGGCTCCTCCCAGGGCCTGCTCTGTCCTCTCGCTGCTGCCCCTCAGTCTTCCCAGCAGCCTGCCAAGACCCGAGGCTGCCCCTGGCTTGTAGCTAGGAAAACACACTCCCAGAGACAATGATTTGTTCAGGGCACATAGATAATAAATGGTGGAAGCTGGGGTTTGAACCCAGCTCTTTCTGCCTGCTGTCCTACTAGGACAGCATCCTGCCTCCAGGCTGCTAGCATAACGTGCTCCTGTTGGTTTGCAGAGTCCCAGCTGAAAGACAACCCTGCGTTCTCCATGCTGAATGACTCTGATGATGATGTGATCTATGGGTAAGAGACTGTCCCTTTTCAAGGCTGTCCATGCTGAGCATTTAGCCTGGTTCTGCAGTTTCTGAACAGGTTGTTAATCATCCTAAATTATTTTCAAGGTATTATATTTCTTTTACCTGGAGGTGTTATGTGATTCTGTGGTTTTCTGTTTGCATGTTACTCAGGTCTAGCTTGAAGGGTGTTCCTTTTTGTTGAGCACCAGTAATGAGTGGTGGCCCCCGGAAGGACAGTTCTTTGTGGTGATGGGCCCTGTGGTGGGTGGGGATGGAGTGGGCGGTATCAGGTGGCTATAGAAATTGGGAGCGTGAAGCTATGAAGTGCGTTCCTGTTAAAATGATGTGTCAGCATGGAAGAGAAGAAGAAATGAAGGGCTGTCAGAAGCTGAATGGTATCAAAGGTCTCTTTTATAACAGGAGTGACTATGAAGAAATGCCCCTGCAGAACGGCCAGGCCATTCGAGCCCAGTACAAGGAGGGCCCTGAGAGTGACTGAGCTCTGGCGGGCTGGCAGGACCCGGGAGCCTGGCGTTCTGCAGCGGCCACTGCCTGGTCCTCCCTGGCCTCGATGTTCGGACTTGTCTTATAAGCAGAGAATTCCTCGTCCTTATTTGTTTACATATTTTTGAAAGGAAAACCAAAACTGGGGACAAATTTAAACAATGGGCCAAATTTATTGTTAGAGTGGCTACAGTTATTTGGGAAGAGAGATGGTGATAAAAAGTTCAAACAGACAAAATCCCCTTTCAAGATTCCAGATGAGAAGTAGCTTGTTTTCGTGGTGAGGAGGAAATTACTCCGGTTTTTAGTAGAATTGTGAATTTTAAAAAGTAGTTTACTTATTCCAAATTCACGGACAGCCCTTCTGAGCAAGGCCCACAGCATGTGGACCCTCCTCTGCTTTCTTCTTCCTCCCTGCCCACCGTGGTGTGGGCCTTTTAGCTCCAAGGGAAGCCTGATTTTGTGGCAGTCCTTCCCACTGAGTAGCCTAGCTCTAGATAGCCAATTCTCTAAGTGACCCCTCCTGGTTGTTGTGAAATGCCCATTAGGGAAGCGGTGGGTGGGCAGGAGCTGGCCCCTCACTACCCCTGCAGCAGTGCTAGCCACTAGCTGTGGTGGAGTTCGGAGGGAGGCTGAGGCGGCACACGAGGAGAGGGTGACATAACTGAGAAGTGCCAGTGGGGAGGGGTCGCTGCCGTTGTTTTCCAAGGGCCTGTGTGTACACATGGCACTACAGACTAGAGTGTGAACAGATGTCCCTGTGGTTGGGGTGGGGAAGAGAGTATCCATGGCAGCTGCAGTAAGCAGTGGCTTCTGTTAAAGATGACACCTCACAGAGCTTTTTTTTTTTTTTTATAAATAAAAGCTTAACAATTTATTGATACAACACTAGAGATTCTTTATTGTCAGAAAGCTTTTCAGTTTCACACTTGGAAACTAGATGAGAGACTAAAACATTTTAGATGGCTTATGGAAGAACCTCTCAGGGAGAAGGTAACCTTTGGCGATCATTACCTGCCCTCAGTGTCTAAGGTGGAAAGGAAAAGTCTGGAGCTGCTGAGTCTGTGGAATCCTAGACGACCCTGGAGAGCTCCCAGGTTCTCTTTGTCTGAGACTAAGGACAGAAGGCCAGTGGATACCTCCCTGGTTTTTCCTGGCATATGCATGGTAGTGACTCTTGGCTGTTACCATAGTGATGATCGCACTTCCTGGCAAACACAGGGAGAGGATGTGATTGTTGGGCTCTGCAGACAGTACTTACGTTTTCTTCATCTATGCATTAACTCTCAAATTACCATTCATAGCTAAATATTACATTCCATGTTAGGTAGAACTGGGATTTTATAGAGATTCATGAGAGACTGTTCATTATGATTTCATATCTTTCTTTTTAATTTAAACTAATGATAATGTACCTTTAATATGGATTCCATTTATATTTGTTTTTAAAACCTTGTAAATATGTTTAAAACAACCGTATTGCAAAGATGACTCTAATTTACATGGTTTTTATACATTTTCAATGGTGTGATTACTTTTTTTGATTGTGTACTCAGAGGTATTGAAAGAATTTTTGTCACCAAATATACTTCTATTAAGACTAACTATAATTTTATGTAAATTGACAAACCTACTTGTGTTAAGGTATTCTAGTTTGTGATAGTTTATAAGTTTTAATCATTATAAAATAATTGTCCATAATTTGGAATGTTATTTATCAGTAAATATAAAATATTTGAGGCATTTAGCCTCACATTAGAACTTTTTAAAACTTGTCATTGTCCTATAGTATAAATTATAAACTGATGACATCTTCATATCTTGATCCTTGATGATGTCAGTGAAATGAAAAACATAGGACTATTTACTTTTTGTAACTTAAGTTTGAAACAAATTACAAAAGGAAGTACTTACTGAAAAGGCATGACAACCGTTTTCCCCATTTCTCTTCTCTGGTGTATCATATATATGAACATACTACATAATCTATGTAAAAATTTGCTTACGGTGTATAGCAGTTAGCATGTTATTTCCTATGTGTTCGTAAGTATTAGGTTGAAGCACTAAAGTCTGCCAGAAACTTTAGACAGTAGTAAGAAAAATTTTTTTTCTTGTTATCAGTTTTGCAAACTTAAAATTCAAAGAGCTAACTTTATTTCTTCCATGGTAACAGCTTGAATAAAGTCATCTTTGGGATAATTTTTTATACTGGTCCCATCAAGGGGACCTGGAAGATGACCATAGTAAACCATTTCAGCCTCCCCAGGGAGAGCTTCATTATCCTTGTGGGTAGGAGGTCTGCTTGATTTATCATTAAATCATTACAGCAGTGAAGTGATGCAGTTTTCTCTCTCTTAAGCTCCATTTGAAAGGCTAGAGAAGGGGACATATAAAATATATTAAAGGTTTGTAAGATTGTTCCTGTACATAATCAGGTTGCAGTTAAGAGCTTAGATACTGTGTGTAAATGCAGCCTATTAACTGGGCAGGTTGCAAGAAGGGTATCACCAAACTAAGGATTTTGTGAACTATTTACTGAAAGTAGTTATGTTAAATGGGTCATAATGTGGTAACTTGTATCCTGGAGTCCTTTTCACAGGGAAAAAGAGCAGCTTATAGAAAGGATAATTAAAAGGGACATCAAAACTAGACTTAAAGCACTGAAGTATACTTATATATTTTGAGGGTTTTAAAAACCAGTTGCCTTAGAAATTATAGACTTTTGGAAAAAAAGATACAGATCTTTCCCCAGGCCCAAGAGAAGTTGCTTTAGTCTGTGACATCTTGTTACCCTGGTTATCTTGATTTGAAGTGTTTTAGGTATTCTGGTAACTATAATCCATACACTAAATGCAGGATTTTCTGCTATTGGAAACTGCCTTTTTACAAAAAGACTATAAATGTTTGTAAAATAAAATAACTCTAAACTTTAAGCTCCAAAGGAAAGAGAACTATGTATTAGATCTTGGAACTGTGTCAGTAAGCAGTCACACCTGGTCACAGAATGAGCTTTGAAACCAATAAAAGTGAATATTCACATGAAGCTTACACTTTGGGAATGGCTTTCTCAGACTACTCTGCTGGTAAACATTAATAAATATTTAATATTCAGTCCTTGTGTATGTTGTTTGCTCTTTGCATGTGTTAAATTGACCATTCAGACGTGAGTGCTTTAGGGACAAGAGCAGGGCCTTTTTTCTTTTCAGCAAGCTGACACAGCAGTGCATCTTTATTATGATGTTAATGTGGCCTGTGGATGAGCAACTGAAGATGAGGTCACAGATTGGGGTTTGAGGCCCACCTCCCCACTTCCCTGGATGTGGCTTTCCTTCAGATGATCTCCAGACATGTTTTCTGGTTTTTAAATAATGGTCTAATTGTTGTGGACCCAAAATGAATGAATGTGAAGGCATGTTGTAAGCCCTACATACCAAACTTATTTTTGGTGATAACTACTGAAAAAGAACATGAGTGTGGAAGTGGTAGTGCTGCAGATTTGGGCCAAGTGTGTTACAGTGCTCTGGTTAAAAGACCAGACGTCAGCTTGCCCGCTTGCCACCCTGTACAGGGGGAACTTGAGAATGAAGACTGATACCAGGGTGAGGATCGACCCAGAAAAGAGCACAGCTGTCAGGGTCCTGGTCACGGGGCAGACTCGGCAAGGCCCTGTACCGGAGAGGACCGCAGCAGGCCTGCAGCCTTTCTTTCTGTTGGCTGGTTTTCAGTTTAACAGATTCTGAGAATCTACTAACCAAATATGAAGAATTCATTTGTGATATGAGACTGTGGAGAAAAACACAAACTTTAGGTCGGAATAATTTATTACTCTAATCAAAGTACAAAGTCAAAGTATGGAAAATCAGCGTATTTGAATCATTTCAGAGAGTAGAGAAAGTTTCACACTCGTGAATTTCAGTTTTGAGCACCTTTGAAAAGAGCTATTCCGAGTTAAGACAAGTGGAGGTGCGCACCTCTGACTAAGGGGGCGCAGTTCATACAACAGTGCAGCCGTCTCGTTTTTTCCTACTTGTAGCCTGCCGCAAAAAACACACTGAAGAGAAAAGTGTTCCCTGAATGCACAGCTGGTGGTTAGAAGATGGATGAGCAGTCCAGCAGGAGGACAACGGTCCCAGGCGGATGGACGTCAGATGGACAGTCCGAAGGTGCTGACAATGCAGTACATGGTCTTGTTCTCCCACCGCACGGTGCAGCTCCCTGTGGGCAGGGAGGCAATTCGAGAAAATGGGCACCTGAAATTCTGATTTCTTACAGTAAGACCAAAACACTCAAGTTCTGACCTCTTAATGGTCCACAAATAAAAAGGCAAATCTCTTTCTGTAAGATGTTTCAGAAAGTGACTCTAATAAACATGCATTCAGAGCACGAAACATCCACAGCAGTGCTGTGAGTGACCAAGGTCCCGGCCCGGCCAGGGCACTGCCAAGCCGGGGGTGCCCAGAGCCCTCGGGTAGTGCATGAGAACCATACCGTCAGTCGAGCTGTCCCAGAAGCAAGAACTGGCTGTGTGTAAGCCCGCGCCATTCTTCTGCATGATTACACAGGTCACTTGAATTAAAACAAACTTTTATCAGAGAAATCTCCTTGGCAACACAGCTTTCCTTTCACTTCGGGCCTGTTTGTGCAGACTGTGGCTGATGTTCGTGATGAAAGTTACCCGGGCAGACTGCCTGGCCCTGCGACACTGACACACCTCCCTTTCCTCCACCGCACTCACTCCAGAGGCTGCTGATCACGCCGCGGGGTCCTGCGACTGTTCCAGCAGCCAGACAGGCGAAGTGGGTGGTCATGTGCACCTCACAAGTGACCTAGGCCTACCTACCAGCAACTCTCTTTGCAGGGGGGTGCCACATTGCCACCCTTACTCTCTTCTGACACCAGATACGCCCTCTCTGATCAGAACCACCACCCATATTATGTGAGAAGCAAAAAGCCATTACCAATGTATTTAAATGGTTTTCCCAGTTTCGTGAGTTGGCTTAAAGTCTGTTCCACTACATTTGTGGTCCACTGATTCACTTTGCTATGCTGGTAGGCGTTGCCCCCAATTGCACTTTCTATCGCCTAGAAGACAAAGCACAGAGGTCACTGTTATGACACCCAGAAACTCTGCAGCTAGCACTGAAGTTTATCACCAGAAGAACTGCTGAAATACAATACACATAAAACGTAAGCTCTTTGTAACCATGAAAACTCCTTTTTAAGTGTACCTTTTGCTTAACAGTGTTATATTTCATTTAAGTTTTATATTTCCATATTAGCTATGGTCTGTCAGATTTTTACATTTTGATTGAATCTAGTGTTCACTGCTGCAATTACTACTGGACATAACCCACATTTCTTTCCTCCTGAGACTAGAAAATATGTCTCTTTGCCTATTCCTTAAGTATAGTGGTAGGAATGTTTACTGGTTTTACAGCTGACAATATTCAAACCTATCCAAATAATTGTGTTTTCCAAAGTACTTTCCTTCATCCAGCATTTTCTGGCAATGTTACCACATAGGTACATTTTTTGGATAATGAAAGGCTAGCCCCATACATTCCAAAACTTACTTTACGTTTATGATGAACTTTGTTCTGTATTATGGAACTCCGTGCCTTCTGTGCTGGACTCTGGTAAGGATGCACACGGGAATACGCATGGCTTCCTGCCACTATTCTTGCTCCAGTTTATAGTTAGGATATTCCTACTTTATGATTCTGGGGGCCTTTATGCTAATGCCAATGTGCTTGCTTCTGCACAGCTTTATTCTCTACCCCTTCTCTAACCTGCTCTGCTAGAAATCAGAAAACTGAATTTTTATGCCATTTTGGACCTAAAATAAAAACAGTCAACGATGACCAAATTCTGTCCTCAGACTTGCAGGGAAAAACAGTCCCAGGACCGACCGAGGTGTGCACACGGGAGACACTGGGGTCTACTACCTGGGTGTGAGCCTGGTTACCTTCCTTTTGAAGAACAAAGAGCTACCTACAGTCACACCATGACTTCTACATATAGGATTACTATTTATCCTGACTCTCAGCAGGCAATCATGCTAAACACACATCATCTGGCATCCTGCCCTCCCTGCCAAGCTCAGGTCATAAAATGGGGCTGGAGGGATAAGGAGCTCCTGGTTTAAAGAGACCACTGGTCAAAGAAGTGGGGGCTTCACTCAAGCTAAACCTCTAAGTCTGGGAACACATGCCCTCCATACACACTTCGGAATTCTCTATTTTTTAGGAAGAACAAACCCTCTCACACAGTTCTGGGCTCATCCAAACTTACTACTACCCAATAGTTAAAATAACTCAAGGGCAGAATTAACCTACTGCCAGAGACAAAAAGGCTGTTAGAGGTCAGTGATCATGTGAAAGTTAACACCACAATACTTCATGCTTCCATGGAGTCTGGGACAGTCTCCATTCAACTCGCTGCCTGGTAACCGGTCAAAGACAATACAGAAAACAAGTGAGGCCAAAAAAGACTTCAACCAAACAGCTCCACTGCTCACAGTGCTAGTGTAATTCAGCCACTTTGCTGCACCTCCCCACTCCATGTTCCATAAAAACACTGAATTTAGAAAAGCAATGAAAAGCAAACTATTACAGATCCTGCAAAGCAACTAGAAAATCATGCCTGATGTTGAATGATGTGTATGGTAGAACAAAATCATTTTGCTTTTTGATCACAAAAATAGGTATCCTTCTTTTATCACTCTGGCATTACTTGGTAATTTGCATTAGAATCAACTCCAAATTACCTATATAACCTCAAACGGTCCTATTAAATTTAGATCATCTGTTGACTTTCTTTTGGCCAAAGGCATGACTGTGCTCTGTTCACACAGGAGGGGAAGCTGACTAGGAGAACCTTTCTGCCTCATTCCTCTCCAGGCTCTCCCACCTCCCTGCACTACTACAGCCTTGTCTGCCCCCTCAAACACACCATCACGCTCCTACCGCAGGGCCTTTGCACATATTGTCCACTGCCTGGCAGGTCTGCTCCTGTTTTTACTGAGTTTGCTACTCCTCATTCTCCAGATTCTAGCTCAGAACTCACTAGGCAGGTCAGTCTCTCACACCACCACTTCTCACAGCAGTTATCACACAAGGAATCCAAGTTTACATTTTCCAGTGTGGTTATCTGAGAAATGTCTGCCTTCCCCTGTGCTGTAAACTCCTGGAGCATCAGTCCCCTGTATGCCCGATCGATACGTACTTTCTGAATAAATGGAGGACAAATACTTTGTCTCCCATTCTCATCATCCAAGGGAGGTATCATGGGTCAATAATGATAAAGTGGGTAACTTAGGAATGTAAGAGAAATAAAGAAACAAATAAGTCTCAAATAGATTACCAGGTCTTGGGTAACTAGAAGTTGTTCAGTATTTTATATATTCATTCTTTCTTCATTAAACACTGGAAACATTTGTATACCGTGAGTCATTTATGCTAAAAGGTTATAGAATCAAGCCTTAGTAACAATAATCTAGTATGCAAAATTTCCTATCTGATTACATAATATGGGAGTAATTCTTTTCTCTTAAGTAAAAACTGTTATTTGAAATGCTAACACAGTTCAGCTGAAACAATTCCAAGACAGTATTTAAAACACTATTTTCACTCATATAAGCATTAAACATTTATAAAGCAAGCATTTCTCCTCTTACCTCTTTCACAATGTTGCTCACTTCATCAACAACAAAAGCAGTCTATAAGGAAGAAAATTAGTTAAGTTTGATTGAAAACATACATTTCTGCTGCACTGATCAGTGCAAATTTAGGTAATGCACAAATTATTTAGAATGAAGACCTTAGAAATACTCTAACCAGACTGCTCATTTCTCCCAGGAAAATATCAGACACTCAGAAACATTAAGTGGCTCTCTGAGGATCACAGAGCTGGTAAATGGCAGGCAGGAAACTAGAATACATATACATAATTTAAAGGTTTTGTGGTTTGTTTTTGTTTTAAACAGCTATGATCCAAAAGACTGTCTTCACTTTAGACTTCAGCTCTCCATTTCTACTGGCCACAAGGACCATTAACAAATGTGAGTTCCCTGCCTTTTGTGTGAATTAACTGATACTTTCCCTGAAGTAAACT